AGGTGCCCCAGAGACTGCTGGCCAGGCCTTTGGGATTGAACCTTTCAGATCTCTGTGTGACTACCACAATCTAAACCTTATATCTAATAAAAAGCTCTCACCCCAACTACCAGAGGTTCTTTGGCATAGGTCTCATTGTTGGTGTGTGTGTCGTCCAACTTTCTTCATCTTTCTCACTCTGACAGTCTTGATGTGTCCAGCAGGCCATCCAACAGGTTAAGGATGACATTTATCATGGTCCTCTCTTCAGGTCCTTCAGGAGCCTCATAGGAGACCTTCCCACCTTCAGTCTTCACCGTGTTGGCCGCCACCATCTTGTGCTGAGAAAAGTTAGTACAAAGCATGGCTAAATTATGTTGAAAAAGCAATTAAATGAATAAAACTTTATTGCAAAATGTCATATCTGTAAAATTTTAAATTTGTAGTTATTCTATATATTCCCTTGCGACTTCTGCACATGTGCGAAGAGCACTACACTTTGTGACTGGTCCCACAGTCTTCTAGGACCTGTGAAGTGTTCCAGAAGGCTGCGGGGGAAGAGGGGGTCTGAAATTCTGGCTCAGATCGCCGTGGCACATCTGACTGGAAGTGGGGGTGGGTATCTGTCAAAACCAGGTACCTCCTCCCTCCGAAATAATTGCCAAATGTAAAGTGGAAGGGGGGGTTATAAACAAGCAGAACTATATTTTTTGGTAATTCCCAAATGAATACCTCTTTCTTTAGCAGAGGGCATGGCATGGCTGGAGGATTCGTTGTCATCTGAAATGGGTGGGGGGGGGGGGGGAGAGCGCTACACCCTCATAGAAATATACTGTACGTACAGTGAGACTTAATATTAAAAAATATTGTGCTGCACCAGATATTTACGTAACCTCTTCCCGTTCGCCCATTGTACATAGATGGCGGACAGGAAGCTTTACTTATGTGGGCTAACATACCTGTACTGAATGTCACACAGACACAGCAGTAATGTGACCAATCACAGCACTCACATAATAAACAATGGAAAGTGAAAGTAAAGATCGCTTCTCTCTGCTCTCTGTGTGAGAGAAGAGAGAAGCGATCCTGAAGCCTGTGAATGTACAGCAGCCTGTCAGGCTGCTTATACACTCACAGACTGTTGTTCCAGCCACTCCAGTGTCCAGCCAACCCGTCACCTGTCCCAGTGTGCATAAAAACTTCCCCATACACCATACCAATGTCCTGAACACCTCCATATCCCAAACGCCCATATCACTGCCATACCAGCATCCTGATCACTACCATATGCCATACCAGTGCCCTGATCACCTCCATATCTCAAACCAACGCCCATATCACTGCCATACCAGTGCCCTGATGACCACCATACCCCATACAAGTGCCCTGATCACCACCATACCCCATACAAGTGCCCTGATCACCACCATACCTCATACAAGTGCCCTGATCACCACCATACCCCATACAAGTGCCCTGATCACCACCATACCCCATACAAGTACCCTGATTACTGCCATACGCCATACCAGTGCCCTGATCACTGCCATATGCCATACCACTGCCCTGATCACCGCCATATGCCATACCAGTGCCCTAATCACCGCCATACCCCATACCAGCATCTTGATCACCCCATATACCCAATACCAGCATTCTGATCATCACCATACCCCATACCAGTGCCCTGACCGCCTCCATATACCATACCAGAATCCTGATCACTGCCATACCTAATATCATGTACGTGATCCGACGCAGCGGGGCTGCTCTGATGCAGTAAATCTGCAGTAGGTGGTCCGCAAGTAAAGTATTACTAAACCCTGGACCCTGCCTTCACTATATCTGGTCTCCCACAGTACACAGAAAATGGAATGCAATTATTTTAGTAAATATAAACTGCTAAATACCTTTTCTCATCATGCTGTATATAACAGTCTTGTGACTTGTATCAGTTTTCAGCTGAGCACTGGTTAAAGCTTGTAGGTGGAGTTTTGTTTCTGCTCTAGGAGGATGCAAAACCCCTGATCTCTGTCTGGGCAGCGCTATTGGCCCTGTGCTGATCCCAAGAAGAAAAAAAACCTCTCTAGCAATACACACTAAAATGAGCATGTACAGAGTGTCTCCACACAATATGTCTTATCAGGAAATAAGAGGGGGGGCCCTGGAAGAAGGGGAGGATCAGAGAAGACAGGACCAAACAGCCTTTTTACACAATGCAGAGGATTAACCCCTTAGGTTCCACAGTGAGTATAACAAGCATACTTTACTGCATATAAAGACTGATTGTACTGTTGTGGGTTTAGTAACACTTTAAGGTATACAGCATGAGTTGATATGTCCACTCACAGGTGGGAAGCTAAACATTCAGATTACAGTGAAACATGGTAATAATATTTGTATAGGTAATAGCAACAGGTCGCCAAACTGGTTCATGAGGATTATGCTCTGTAAGAACATGCCTAGGTATTGATAAACAGAGGGGAAAACTCTAAAAGATGAGGATTTTTTTTCACATTAAAGCAGTGTGTTTTTTTTTCCCCTATATTTCCTTGCGACTTCACAGCCGGCTTCATACTGCACATGTGCGAAGCGCGCTCTACTTTGTGAATGGTCCCACAGTCGTCTAGGACCTGTGAATTATCGCAGAAGGCTGCGGGGGAAGGAGGGGGTCCGAACTTTCGGCTCAGACCACCATCTGTCCGGACGTGGGAGTGGGTACCTGTCAAAACCAGGTACCTCCTCCCCCCAAAAAGATCTCAGAACAATACACAGAGCTGTGTAATGCCCACTACACACGATAATAAAATAGTACGAAACATTTTGCGGAACCACTGATCGAATGATTTTCTCTTCGTTGATGAGCAGGATGTTTTAACTGATAACGATATTGTGAACGAAAAAATCCGGTTGAACAACAGTGAAAAATGTTGTTTTCACATATGAACGACCGATTTTCTATGCGGTGGTATGACGGTCGTACGAAAAAAATCTATCAAGCGCTATCACGCATGAGCAGAAACAGAAGATGACCCGGATGTTTATGTCCAAGGAATCCTCGTAAACACAAACGAAAAATCCAAATGGTAAAAAGTAGATCGGCCTAATGAGATAATGAAAGCAGAATTCTGCATATTATATTTTATGTATCACTATTTATGTACATAGGTAATGTAATAAACTATATTATACTCATTGCTGGTAATTGTTGTGTATATATCGCTCGTTCTGGCTGGAAGGGCGCGGGCTACAAGGTCACACGCACACTGCATCACTTGCACTTGTACGGAAGATGTCAACATTACGTATTGGCCGACGAACAGTTTTTTTAGATTGGTTAATGCGGGCTACGATTTCGATCAGCAAACGAACGCCTCTTGGTCATCGGATGACCGATCGGTCGATTTTATAATCGTGTATTCCCACCTTAAGTCTCAAGCTGAACAAGCTCTCATGAGCAAAATTAATGATTTTGCTGTCCGAGACATTTAGCTGAGTCTCCAATTCACTCGTTGAGTTGCTTTAGCCAAATTTGCGTGAAAATAAAAATCCTTTTTTTTTTTTTTTCCTTGAAGGGCATGAAGTTTATTATAAGAAGGTATATTTAGGGTAGTATAACTTATACATTTTAAGGCTCATTTACATTTTAGCGGCATGGTAACACATGTTATGTTGTGCATTAATCTGTGTTTTGTCAATGCAGACCATTGTGAAAATAATGGACTACCAATCCACCCAACACATGCCAAAAATTTACCATTTTTTTTCTAACACAATGCAAACTACATTTAGTGCATTGCGGGGCTATTCAAAATGAAAAGGATATTAATGCAGTATGGAATGGAACCATCAGTTCCCATGCGTACATTGACGCAAATCAATAGTGTACTTTGTTGCAATGTTCTTTGCTTTTGTTTTTTTTTAAGTTTTTTTTTTGCATTATGTGTGTGTATTTGATTATTTTTTTTAATGTACCATCACTTTATATTGTGTTTAGCTGTCTGTACCTATTTTTGATGCAAGAAGTCTGGTGTAGTTGAAAGGAAATTTTATAGCTATCAGAAGCTAAAGTTATTATTAATATTATTATACAGGATTTATATGGCGGCAACAGTTTTGCTAGGCGCTTTACAATATAACGGGAGACAATACAGCAACAATACAGTTCAATACAAGAGGGTTAGGAGGTCCCTGATCCTGGGAGCTTACAATCTAGGAGGGAGGGGCTAGTGGTACAAAAGATAGTAACTGTGGGGGATGGACTGGTAGGAGGAATAGAAGATTCCATTATTAGCTGAGGGCAGGATAGGCTTTCCCTGAAGAGATAGATTTTCAGAGATCGCCTAAAAGTGAGCAGAGTAGGCGATAGTCTGATAAATTGGGGCAGAGAGTTCCAGAAGATGGGGGATGCTCTGGAGAAGTGATGACAAGGGAGACAAGGGAGCTAGAGAGCAGGAGTTTGTGCGAGGAGTGGAGAGCGCGGTTTGGGTGATATTTGGAGACACAAGATTGGTGATGTAATTTGGGGCAGAGTTATAAATGTCTTTATATGTTATTGTTAATGTATTGAATTTTATCTGTTGGGAAATGGGAAGCCAGTGGAGGAATTGGCAGAAAGGGATGGAGAATACTGAGTGAAGGCCAGTGGAGGGATTGGCAGAGAGGGATGGAGGACACAAGAGGAGGCCAGTGGTGGAATTGGCAGAGAGGGATGGAGGACACCGAGTGGAGGCCAGTGGAGGGATTGGCAGAGAGGGATGGAGGACACCGAGTGGAGGCCAGTGGAGGGATTGGCAGAGAGGGATGGATGAGGACACCGAGTGGAGGCCAGTGGAGGGATTGGCAGAGAGGGATGGAGGACACCGAGTGGAGGCCAGTGGAGGGATTGGCAGAGAGGGATGGAGGACACAGAGTGGAGGCCAGTGGAGGGATTGGCAGAGAGGGATGGAGGACACCGAGTGGAGGCCAGTGGAGGGATTGGCAGAGAGGGATGGAGGACACCGAGTGGAGGCCAGTGGAGGGATTGGCAGAGAGGGATGGAGGACACCGAGTGGAGGCCAGTGGAGGGATTGACAGAGAGGGATGGAGGACACCGAGTGGAGGCCAGTGGAGGGATTGGCAGAGAGGGATGGAGGACACCGAGTGGAGGCCAGTGGAGGGATTGGCAGAGAGGGATGGAGGACACAGAGTGGAGGCCAGTGGAGGGATTGGCAGAGAGGGATGGAGGACACAGAGTGGAGGCCAGTGGAGCGATTGGCAGGGAGGGATGGCAGATACAGAACGGTTAGTAAGGTGGATGAGTCTGGCAGCAGCATTCATGATAGACTGAAGAGGAGATAGCCTGCGATGAAGTCGGCCAATGAGGAGGGAATTACAATAGTAAAAAGTTAATTGTGCTCTTACAAATTACGATTAACATCTACATTTTGTCTTCCCTACTGACTCCAATGCATTTCATAAAAATAGACAAATTTTATGAAATTTCCCAATGTATAGAGCAATTTTATGGAAATGACACAAATACAATTTCTGTAGCAGCTAACATACTGTATAATATACATTATATATTCTCTTGAAGTCCCACATTTTCTAAGGTCAAATGTCGTGGCAGGGTTGTTTGGGCTCTGGGACCTATAAGAGTTTGTATTGCATTGTTCTCTTTTTTTTTTTTTTTCAAACATTTTTGAGGGAAAAAAAAAGCTGCAGGTCAGTGCGATTTCAGATGCAATTTGCCTGACATCTGTGCAACTTCATGCCCAGATGTCTATGCATGGCACACCTGAAATCGCAAAAAAATAGTGCAGGAACCTTCTTTTTCAAATCAGTGCAGCACCGCAAAGTCGGAGTCGCACCATTTTGAACAGTTCGATTGCTGACAATATGGTGCGACTTGTCATACGATTTGGAACTTGTCGCTATTTATTTTTTGGTTTATTTCTGTAAAGTTTCTTACTTTGAGATCCAGCAACAGGCTGCCTGTTGACAACGCTGCAATTCTGAAGCAGCAGTTTAGCGCTAACAGCTTGAATCCATTAATTCCAGAATCTTCAAATTAAAAACTTGGCAACAAAGTCAAGAAGTCAAAAAAAATTATTCAATAAAACTGTATACAGTGATGCAGGAATCTGAAAAATAGATTGAGGTTTACTTACACTCTGGAGTCTCTGGGGGAGAATCATTAGGCTCCATGCACACAGGGTGTTTTGATAACTCTGGTAATGTTAGCTATGTAAAGTCAAGTTAAAAACGTGCATTTTTCAGCTTTTTTAGCGTTTTTTTTGCGTTTAACGGCGTTTTGTTGCATTTAGCAGTGTTTTCTCACGTTTGCATTTTTTACCGTTGTTTTACAAAAAAATAAAAAAAAACTCAAAAAAACCAAAAACATCCCCAGCTGTAAAAATGTTCAGTGTGCATGAGGACTCAAAAAACATGCAGTTGGATAACTCTCCATCATAGAATTTTGGTGAAAATCGCATTCTCTGATTTATAAATAGACCCCATGCTTAAAATTGAATGGAGTGGTTGCTCATTTCCAATAATATTATGTACAATATTGCATTCGTTGACTTGTGAAATAATGTTTTAGCAGATAACAGGAAAAATGTGTACTTACTTGATGTCTAGCTCCCCCGTGTAGTTTTTCGGTCTGTTTCCTTTTTTTCAGGTCTAATGTCACAGCCCGTATAAAAAGTGCAAGCCTGGATGAGACGGAAGCTGCTGGAAGTGAAAGATAACAAACTAGGCTGCATTTCATTCTTTTTTTACTTATGGCAGACATAGGCAACCCTATAGAGGTGGAGAACTAGATCAAAGATCACCAGGGTGCAGCCTGCCTTTTTTTTTTCTAAGGAAATAACCTAGGAAGCTTCATTAAAAAGTCAAGAAAACTTAAAAATATAATAATGCAAATGTCACTGTAAGGCCTTATGTACATGGGCAGTTTGGCCCATCAGCATCCCAGCATTTTCAGGCACCAGGGAGGTACAGGTGCAATGTTCAGTCCTGCTGCCAGCAGCTTGTCAAAATCTATGACAAGCTGAAATTTGTGATGGTTGGATGTTACCAAGGCTGCTGTTAGAAAACCACAGGGCCCCATACAGATAACCTGACAGGACCCCCTTCCCCCCTCCAAAAAACACAGTTTACTAGGCTTCAGTTATGAATGAACACAGTGAATGATCGGTACCAATCACTCATTGTGTGCATTCAGGAAAGGAAGGGGCTGGTAAATGTAACATTTTTAGAATCAACCCCTCACATGGCCACAATCGACAGGTAGATCATGACCAACCAGTTTTTTACCCTCACCCTACATTCTGGTATTATCTCATAAAAGTGCAATTGTTGCAGGTTATATATTTACATCTTAAATAAAAAATAAATGTACAAGATGCCTATTGTTGCTTGATTAAAGAGGATGCACATGGAGGTCTCAGAGGCATGAAACAGTTCACTAAAGTACAAGTTAAAGGGTCAGTCTATCCACAACTGATAATAAAGGCTATAGATGGAACCTGGTAGGTTAAGGCAAGCACTGGCATCTTATGTCCTGAATAGACCAACAGTGGATTCTCCTCCCATAAGTCTCAGCTTAGCTTGTAAAATACAAAGATGTTAGAAATATGTGTGTCTTTTATGGTACTACTAGTTCTGATAGGTGTAGATCACCACTAGGGTGGAAGATCATGTGACCACAGTTCAGGGTAATCATATATGAGTGTTAGCACCTTCAAAAAAAAAATATAAAAATTAAAGATTGCTTTGCTTAAGAGTGGAAACCATTGTGTTTTCATTTTTATGTGCCCTTAGTTCAGCCTAAACAAATATTACCCCACTATACTGTAACTTGAAGATAAGAACAGTTCTTTTCAAAAGAACAGTGTCTAAATTCATATAAAGGTAATATATTATTATACAGGATTTATATTGCGCCAACAGTTTGCGCAGCGCTTTACAATATAAGGGAGACAGTACAATTACAATACATTTTCAGTACAGGAGGAATAGGAGGGCCCTGCTCGTGGAGCTTACAATCTAAAGGAAGGGGGAGGTGATACAAAAGGTGATACTGCGGGGGATGATCTGGCGGAGGTGATTCAAGTACAGTTCTTAGATGGAGGGCTGACCGGACATGCTGTGGTAGGGAGTTCCAGAGGATAGGAGAGGCTCTGGAGAAGTCCTGGAGGCGAGCGTGGGAGGAGGTGATGAGGGAGATAGAGAGGAGGATATCATGGGAGGAGGGGAGTGGGCAATTTGGGTGGTATCTGTGGATGAGGTTGGTGATGTAGCTAGGGGCAGTGTTGTGGATGGCTTTGTAAGCTGTGGTTAGTATTTTGAATTTTATACGTTGTGTTAGTGGAAACCAGTGGAGGGATTGGCAGAGAGGGGCAGCAGTTGTTGATCGGTTGGTAAGGTGTATGAGTCTAGCAGCAGCATTCATAATAGACTGAAGGGGGGATAGCCTGTGTAACGGTAGACCAGTGAGGAGGGAGTTGCAGTAATGGATGCGGGATATAACCAAGGCGTGGATAAGTTGTTTTGTGGTGTCATTGGTCAGGAAGCGGTGGATTTTGGAAATGTTCCGGAGGTTGAGGCAGCAGGATTTAGCCAGCGAGTGGATATGGGGTCCAAAGGAGAGGTCAAAGTCTAGGATTACGCCTAGCACCCTAGCATGAGGGGAAGGACCAATGGTTGTGCTGTTGATCTTAATGGTAAAGTCGGGAGTGGGGGATCGGGGAGGAGGAAATATTACAAGCTCAGTTTTTGAAAGACTGAGTTTAAGGTAGTGATGTGACATCCATGCTGATATGTCGCTTAGTAGATTTGTGATACGTGAGGAGATTGAGGGGGTGAGCTGGGGAGTGGAGAGTTAGATCTGGGTGTCATCAGCATAGAGATGGTATTGGAAGCCATGGGAGGTTATCAGTTGGCCCAGGGAGGAGGTATAAAGAGAGAAAAGGAGGGGCCCAAGAACAGAACCTTGGGGTACACCAACAGAAAGACGAAGCAAAGCGGAGGAGGAGAAGTTGTATGTGACACTGAAAGTGCGCTGAGAAAGATAAGAGGAGAACCAGGAGAGAGCAGAGTCACGGAGGCTGATGGAGTGGAGTTTACTGAGGAGGAGCGGGTGGGTCGACTGTGTCAAAGGCAGCGGAAAGGTCAAGGAGTATGAGTATGGAGTAATGGCCGTTGGTTTTAGCAGTTAGTAGGTCATTAGTGAGTTTTAGTAGGGCAGTTTCTGTGGAATGTTGTGGGCGGAAGCCAGACTGTCGGGGATCAAGAAGGTTGTTGTCGATGAGGTGTTAAGAACTGCCTCAAGGCCATTGGCTGGGAAATTTGGCTCCTACCAATGTCTAATGTATCCTTGTACTCTTTCCATATAAATATAAAATAGTATTGGGGCTCTAAGGATTCATTTTAAATCAGGACAATGTATCCAGGGACAGGCATAACGTTTGTACAATCCATGTAGTTGCATTAAGGATCCCCTGGAACTGAGGGGCCGTTATACTATATTTGGGTTAAAGTGGCACAGGACCCCCATCGGCTGTTAAATAGACAGTTCACTTCTAAAGAATTCCGAGAAGTAGGAGGCATTCTTCATAATTACAAAGCAGGCTTCCTTCATTTTGTGCCTGACCAGCATACATACATAGCATATTATGAATTATGAGAAAGTTTAGTGTTATGGAAAAGTATATCTGTCTGTCTGTCTGTCTGTCTGTCTGTCTGTCTGTCTGTCTGTCTGTCTATCTATCTATCTATCTATCTATCTATCTATCTATCTATCTATCTATCTATCTATCTATCTATCTATCTATCTGTCTATCTATGTGTATACACTTGGGAAGTAGTCAAGTGTTTTTGCCCAGGGGCCATTCGGTCAGTTGGTCCACCACTGGTTGTCTCTTATTAAAATGTCACATTACCCATCAGGACTTGGACACAAAAACATTCAAGATCATCCCAAGAAAACCAAAGTATTCTCTTTCTCTGTCCCTAGACAAAATGAACATTAAAGTGACTCTAAAGGGGCGCATGCGTAGCAGGCTCCCAAGATGGCCGCTTAGCACAGAGGTGCCGAGGCCATCGCCATAGTAACCAGACTTCCCACACTGACAGACGGGACACTGGCACACTGGCTCGGGGGATATAAACCCCCTCACCCTCAGGAAGCATGCCTCAGCGCTGTACGTCTCTGGCATAGTCGTAGAGACTTATGGACGTTTACCCTGCCCGTGACACAAGGATCCAAGATGGCACCGGCACCATCACATGCGGGAGACCGGTCCCTGCTGAAGAACAAGCAGGCTATACACCGGATCTCAGGCTAGCAGTTCCACTCTACAATGGAGACCCAGGTGAGGCTTCTCCTTCTCTCTCACCCACAAACCCATAGCCTAGCAAAATCGAGGTCCAGGATTGAGGGCCCTGTCAATTTTACCTCAATATTTCCAGATGTCAACTTATACTTCTACACTACTATTACAGTCCACCATTGAGGAATTCCCTGCTTCTGACCAACCGGTTGCTGAAGTGGCCATGAAAAATATGCTTCTTTCACTCAGGAAGACTTTCCATAGTGATATTACAAATGTAATCACCCCACTATCAAACACTATTTTTGACCATTCCAAACGCATGCAACATATAGAGTGCAAAACGGCTGGCATGTTTATGGCAAATAACACCATGGTAGACGCTCATGCGGATCATGAGAACGAAATTCTACAACTAAAAAACAAAATCGTGGACCTAGAAGATCGTTCTAGCAGAAATAACATACAATTTCGAGGCATTCCTGAATCAATCACTCCTGACACACTAATATATTATCTACAACAATTAATGTCATTCCCTCACTGGGTCCACTAGAGGCAGTGCTTGATAGAGCTCACAGAATTCCTAAATCTAACTTTCTAGAAGCCTCTACCCCTAGAGATGTTCTTGTCAGAGTCCATTTTTACCATATAAAAGAAAAGCTAATGATGGCGGTAAGAAACCCGTCAGCCTTTCCTGCCTCCCATGCAGGGGTCAAATTATATGACACTTCTCAAAAGAAAGAAGCTACTATCTATCATGAAAGCCTTACGGAACCGTGATATAGCGTACCAATGGGGCTTCCCCACCAAAATCTTCATACAAATTCAGGGCAAATCCTACATAGTCCGGAATCTGGAGCAAGGCATAGATCTCCTAAAAGAGTGGAATATTCTACCTGCTTACTGACTTAGACCGACTTCACGACACAACCCCACCAAATGGAGGGTGACTGGACCTAAGTAACATATTTCAACAGATGGTCCCCTGACCAACCCTACACCATACATGCTGTTATAAAAGCCTTGGTCCACTTTAGATGTATCCTACTCTATCTCGGCTGATACATGACAACAATCTATTGTCGCCATGTTTGCTACGAAGCCCCTGGATGGCAGTAGCCATGATGGCTACCCATGTTCCTTGCATTTTTTGCAAGTTTTTTTTACAAACGTTTCTCCCTGAAGTATTCATGCCTTTCTTCTAGTCAACCAAACTCCATACCATTAACCTACACTTTTGCCAAGTTCACCAACAGTACCTGCCTATGAATAACCTTCCATTCTATGATGCTCTCCACCGAAATGCCTGATGCAACCTATTACCGATACAATCCTATCAATCATTCCATCTCACAAGCTGGACAAAACGTATGCTACCAATTCAACTGACCACCCTGAGCCACTTCTGCACCATCATATACTCACAATATGTTTTAAAGTAATTTCTCTCAATATCAGGGGACTAAATTCACCCTAAAAGAGATCTTCTCTGACAAAAGCAATCCATGCTCAACATGCGGATATCATTTTCATTCAAGAGACTCATTTTGCCTCTACTAAAACACCTATCTACCCAATCAAGAATTTTTCCACAAAATATCTGGTGTTACACCACAAAAAAAACAGCTTAGTCCTGACGGCTATTAAAAACTTGATTAACTTCCACTTTACCTCTGAATACAAAGAACCTCAAGGTCACTTCCTCATCCTGGTATGCCTTATCAACAACGTTCCCTATACACTTGTCAACTTATATGGTCTGAACTCTAACCTGATCTAATTTTTGCAAACATCTGATCACCAAAATCGATTCTATCAAGAAAGGCCGCCTGATTATAGGTGGAGACTTCAACATAGTAAGTAACATACAAATGGATTCATCTTCCGGCAAGAGACCCCTGAACCACAGCCTAAACCAATTTCTTCATATCAACGACTTTATGACATCTGCAGATGTCAGCACAGCTCAGAAAGGGATTACTCTTGCTTCTCTCCATCACGACGCTCATACTCAAGAATAGACTTCTTCCTCACGGACAAATGGACACTAAAATGCATCTCTTCCTCAACAATAGGGACTATTACGTGCTCCAACCATGCACCAGTTTCTATCTCTGTGGGCCCGCCTAATAGTTCAACAACTCCCAAACCATGGAGACTGAAGTCTTCCATACTATATGATCCAGCCCACAAGAAAGTCACAATGGAAGCACATGATCTTTTCTTTGAGACCAATAACACCCCAGACGTGTCGATACAAACCATATGGGATACTTATAAAGCTTTCATGAGAGGGATTCTTATTAAATGCCCAAATAACCACCCATAGGAGGCACCAGGTAGAAGAGATACTATCCTCTATCAAAATGAAAGAGGTTCTAAACAAATCCAACCTGACTGAGTCCAACTCTTCCTCATTACTAGCTGACAGAGAGAAATTTTCTAGCAAAATCAATCAAACAACAACGCCTTAAAACCAAAATCCAAACAATTCGATCTCCAAAATCCAATTCCCCTGTCTCAAACCCATAGCTAACTCTTTTGCGGATTTCTATCTATCCCTCTATAACCTAAGAGAAGACAAGGAGACCCCACAACCATCTCCGGAAGTCATACAAGCTTTCTTACATTCGATTAAACTTCCAGTCCTGTCTCCTACTCAGTTACAAAATACACCAAAGAACTCCAAAATTCTTCTCTCCAAATATTTCCCTTTCATTTGGGCGGAACACTCTATTCCCTATTTAGGGATCAATATCTCCGCCTCAACATCACACCTCTATGATCTAAATCACAAAGTATTTTTACACTCTCTCCCCCAAGAACTCCAATCCTTTCGAACATTTGGATTATCTAAATTGGGGCGTATACACCAATAACCTACTAATCTGCCCCTATCACAGAGGAGGAGCCAACCTCCCGCACTTATACACTTACTATCTAGCGGCGCTCCTTGATCAGACCTACTATTGGTACCACCCAACCAGGGCAAAAAACATGGACCAGCATAGAACTTACATTGTTTCACCCTTTCACTCCACAGACTCTTCTGCTTTTACGTTCTAT